TGAGCCTGGCATTTTAAAGATAAAGAAGAAAGAACAACTCCGGGAGTGGGATCTCTCAGAAGCCATTTTTTCCTCTTGAATGGGAAAGCACTCACTGGAGCCGCGTTTGAGAACTGCGGACATCACAGAGAATTGGGGAGTAACAGGTGGAGTACTTCGGACACTTACTAAGTGCTGTCACGCTCCAGGTGCTGCTCAACAGGCTCTGCTCAGCTCAGCACACCTGGCCTTAAAACTGAGCGTAAGACACACAGCCAGTAAGTTGCAGAGGGAGAATTGGAATTCGGGTGCCCCAACTTCAACGCTCACTTCCAGGTGTGAGAAAGGGGCCACTCTGAGTGACTGACTGAAAGGCTCAAAGTGCCGTCTCTAAGGGAAAAGGCTCCAGGCTCATGGTGCTACGTGTGCAGAGCTCAGAACGAGACTACCTGAGCTGGCCGTCTGAAGGAAATCCACTTGTGCTGCATGGATATTGATCAGTGGATCTGAAGAATATCAGACAATTCCCTTCTGTGTGATTTTCTAGAATTCTGAATATGCTTGCTGCAGGCTCGTGTCTGATTTGGTGAGCCAAGCATATGAAGAAAAGCAGAATAAGTAAGAATGGCTGAGAGGAAAGGGAGGTAGTGTGCGGACAGGACAATGATGTCTTTGTAGACGCGATATTTCCGAGCTTCATGGTTCTTTTCAAAGCTTTGCTCTATCCCTCGAGTTATAGGTCATAGGGGAAGAATTTCTCAATAGGGATTTTGTTCAGATTTATCTATTCTTTTGCCTAATCAACCCATAACTACTTACTTCAAATTCTGTTTGTCAGTATGGGTACATGGATCCCATCTCTGGGAAGACCTGGTTCCCTCAGTCACCAAAACAATGTAGAACTAAAGGCATTCAAGTGAACCCGATCAGTTCTGTTTATTAGCTTCACTTACCATCCAATACAAATAAGCAATTCTTTGTCCCCTGTTTTATAAACTATTTGTCATCTCAGAACTATTCTAAGTGTCAGACACATCCGGACCCACCTTTGCTGATACTCCAGAGTTTCCTAAGACCCACCCAGCGGGACAATCATAACCTCAGCGCTGTTGTACGGTGTTAGGCATGAGTGCACGGGGTGGGGGGGGGCTGCACAGAAGGGCAGGCCCAGCACTACTGGATAACAGAAGGTGCCATCCCTCTCCACATCCTTGTGGTTAGTGGGAAGGTCTTTCCGGCATTTCCCTTCATTCCTGAGTCAGCCTCCTCACCAGTCCATAAATCCTTGCCTTTTGTACTGGACGAGCCTCCACGGGCAAACCCTTTCCTTCTCCACAGCTCCTTGAGCTCTCAACACCCACCATTCAAAGTGGGAACCATGCGTGGTGTCTCCATTTCATCCAGAGAAAGACAACTTTAGTTGTTAAATCCCTGACATAATGAAAATAGTTAATGAATGAAAAGCAGGGGACTTAAGGTCATAGAGAACAGTTTTGTTTTTTTTCTGGACTGTGGAAGACTCTGGTGGTGGGATGGACAAGGAATAACCTAAGAGCAAGAAATGAGAGTTCCAGTCGAAACTAGCCTTTCGGGTTTTATTTGTGGTAGCAATCAACTTTTAATTTCAAACTTGTTGAATTTAAACAACAAGGTTGTTTAAATTATCCCCATACTATTATTGCCATACTTTCTCCAAATCCAAAGGCAAACAGAAACTTAGAAGTGAAAATAACCATCTCTTTCTCCTGAGAATCACCTATCTTTAAACTATTAATGCCAAAACTTCACTTTCATTGTTCATCCACCTCATCTTGTGTGAGATGTTGTTGTCATTTTGACTTCGTAGGTGGGGACAGCTGAAGAGTAGAAGTGACACTGTTTGGGGTCAGAGTTGAGATTTAGGCTTTCTGACCTACAGTTGGTAGACCTCAGCTTAAGAAAAAGCATATTGGCAGCTGCTACAAGCCTGACACTGTGCCTTTTTGCAATGTCAGGATGCGTTTATCTTTTTATAGCAATTGCAATGGTGGGAAACATAACGAGAAATAAAAATAAAAATAAAAATAAGAGAAATAAAAATAACGAAAAATTAAAATAAAAATAAATCTGCTATTTAACATAACTCTGAAGTTCTAGATTCTTGATTTTGTCATCTATAAAATGAAAATAGCAATACCTACTTCACACTTTTAAGGATTACATGAGGTAATACACATGCAAGCATTTTCTATAGAGTTCTAGCTGCTGTTGACACTTTCAACCCCAAAGATATAATTATCAAAGGAGTGACTATGCTGTTTTTATTCCTATGAATACATCTGGTAATAATATTTTAAAATCCTATCAGTTGGAATCCAGTAGTAGTATTAGAAATACCTGCTTTACCTCATCTTGACCATGTTCTTGAATGCCGGTATTATTTAAATATTAAAATTCACAGTCTAAATAAACACCAATCTTGAAATACTTATTTTGAGTCATTTTCTTTGTCAAAAAATAATAGCAAATAATTTTTTGCAGAAGGCAATAAGTAGTACTATTTACTCACAGTGATTGTAATTTTTGTATTTGCCTTCTTAATACACAACAGATGTGGAAAGACATGAATCTGCCCCACCCCACCCCCACACGCTCCCCGCAACACGTGGCATCGAATCAGATTACAGTCTATATGACACAGTAAAATACTTGCGTGTTCGTGAAGAGAATTCAAGTCTGCTGCCAGTTTAATTTACTAGTTTATTTGACACACATCTAAAAATTGTGTTGCTGTTTAGCTAGGAAGATTAAAATCCTGAAGGTGAACACAATTTTACAAAGAAATTTTAACTCTATAGATCTCAAGGTTACTGACAAGGATACATATATACTGAAATTGGAGTGGCTTTGAAAGTTGGTACCTGCCAGAAAAGTCTATAGAGAGGCACCAATGAGACGTATTTATATTACAGCAATTATGGAGTAGAAATGACTCTGCAGTCTGATTAGAAATGTGACCATCATGATAAAAATCATATCATCCCCCCAAAGATCCTGCACACAATTTATTAATAAAGATACTGCAACTATCAAATGGTAAAATCAAGTGAACTTTATTTATGGACCTTATAGGCTTTAAAATAATTGAATCACCTACAGTCTCATGCAGATGAGCAAAATCAAGCATTGCCTTTATATATATCATTAAAATGGAAGGTGGCAAAGAATAAACAAACAAAAAGAACCCAATGCTAAATCTAAGGATCTGGTCCTCTTTGCTTATAAATATGCTAATTATATATGTATTAAGCACAAACTGTGGCAAATGTCTATGCAAAAATTATATCCTTCCCCTCGCCGCCCCCAGAAAGAAACTACTGGAGCTGGAAACATCTGTGGTTTTCATTGTACATCAAAATATTTAATCACATAAAATTCACCACAGTACGCTTTGGAAGAGAGTTGATGACATTTTGTGGATCTGAGAAACCAATTCCTTTCAATCTCCTCCAGCCAATTTTTGCCCTACTTTCCGGAGTTAACATTTGAAAGGCATGAGAAAAACAGGACAATGCAGAAGCACCATTTCCCAGTCCTCGGTCCCTGAAGCTCAAGTCGGACATAAATCTCCTGATGAGAGATCCTGGGGTACAGTTAGTACTTCCATGTGGCACTTCATACCTTTACAAGCTCACCTTTCAAGGCTATGACAGCATCTGGAGAGAGATGCCCCTTCCTTAGCCATCTGAGGATAAGGGGCAGAGAGCAGAGGGCAGGTTATCTGAAAGCACCGGCAGGCAGGGCAGCACAAAACACTGTAGTCCTCGTCACGTAGGCAAATGTGGGAACTTTTTTTTCTAAGATTAAGGAAATTGTTGGGGGTTGGGGTCACTCAGAAGACAAGGATATTCTCTTACTTCCAAAGTAGAATTTAGATGAATTATTATTTACCACTTTAGCAAACATGCTCAGGAATAAATTTCATTGCATGATTGTCCTTGTAGAAGAAAACAGCACAATTTTGCTTGATAAGCGTTTTATTTTCAGCATATCATTGCTTAGAAATTTGGTTCTACTAATATCGAACATAACAATGGAAGAGAATGAGACTTTCTGGTGATTGGCCCAGGCTCTAAGGAGTCCCTCTGAAAGAGGGGAAAGCATCGTTTGTTCCCCATGGTCCTCGGGGATCGCGCTGGGGCAATGAGAAAGTGTGTTTGGTTCAAAAGTCAGAGTAGCCTCTCTCCTAACAACCCTAATTCCTTCTATTAGATGGATTAGAGCATTAAACAGCACAAATCCAAATGATAAAGGACAGGCCGGTGCATGGGCTGAGTGTGAGTGCACACACACACAAATACAGGCACACACACACAAACCATGCACATTTTACCGTCCTGCAAACTACAGGTTTTCTAGAGCTACATACCTTTTTAAAATAACACCCTGGTGTATGTACAATACACACTTTCTTTTCTTGGTCAATGCAGCAAATCACTCTTAAACAAAGAGAAAAAAGACTCATGCCAATGGGTTTATTTAAAATTAAACAGAGCTATGTGGATAATAGCAGCTGTCTAGTTGAGATTTACTTCCCTAATGCTGACTAATATATGTATTCATAAACAAATCAAAGATATTGCCAAAAGATAAATGCTGCTGTTAACACCCCAACGGCTACTGGTTTCAGTTGTGCTTCTCAATCAGGCAAAGTGTTCTTTCCCTTCCTCCTCACACTGTTTATTTTGCTTCCTGCCAATCTTGCAAATCATTCATCTTGTGTGTCTTTTGCTCATAAATGCTTCCTGGTGCTTGATTGCTTTGCCTATGTGGCATTTGATTTCAAACTGCTATTCTACCTTTATAAACATGTAGGACTTTCCGAGCATGAGGAGAATGCCCAAAAGGCATGTGAAAATGAGGCTGTAATTAGATCAGCAGAGTATATTGTACAGCTTATTTAGCTTTCTCTCTTGTTATCCAATATTCATTCCCAACCTGAATGCACAGCAGTCAATTAACATTTACTCCAGCAAAGAGGCCCTGGTATCAACATGTTTAATTTATTATTATTGCAAAGAACAGTTTTCCCGTGATTAGTGAAACAGAATACATATAACATATTTAAGGATCTGCACCCAGACCACAAAAAAAAGGGGATGGGGGAGGAAAGAGAAAAGCAGAACACAAAAGAGAAAATAGAAACAGTATCAGTTACCACGTGAGTTTTGTGGTAAAAAATAGAATATGACGTGCAATAGTGCAATTTTCCTTTGCTAGTCCAGCAATGCAAGTCTTAATAGGAAGTCCACTAATGTTCTTTCTGCATCTCAGGATTCAGTTGCGTGCCTGCCGGGAGTTCGAGTTCCTGCCAGACTTCTGACTCTGCGTGGAATCACTATGGCTAGAATCACTTTTATTCAGTCCGAGGTGACGTAGCTTCATGTCCCAGCGCTGTGAAATTTAAAGCAGGAAGTGGTCACATGCACTTATCACCAAGGTCATCATTTCTATTATTCTAACCACTGAGTGAGACTGCCGAGTCAGATCTCAAAGGCATTCATTCTATTACTTTCCAAAAGTATAAACTCTGGATCCCAGGGTACTGATGAAATGGCTGCTATAGAAGCATAATTGTCAGATTTTTAAAAGCACAAAACTGGCCACCTATATCAATAATATTTTGATATCAAACCTTAAACTTAAAATTTCCATGGTGACACAAATATCTGTCATTACCTGAGAGTATTTCCTGGGATAACAAACACAAGTCTGGCACTTCACAGATGGCCAACAAATAGAAAGCATGCAGAATTTGAAGGAAAAGCTATTTTTCATCTTTCTCTCTTACAACATGTAATACCACAGACTTTTTAAAAACATATTTTATTTATTTATTTTTAGAGAGAGGGAAGGGAAGGAGAAAGAGAAGGAGAGAAACATCACTGTGTGGCTGCCTCTCTCGATCCTGCTACTGGGGACCTGGCCTGCAACCCAAGCATGTGCCCTGACTGGGAATCTAACTGGTGACCCTTTGGTTCACAAGCCCATGTTCAATCCAATGAGCTATACCACACAGGGCCAGAACACAGCCTTTCTAAATCTATGTAATTTGAGCAATGAAAAAAAAAGAAAATTTGGGGTTGAAATAGGCTCTCTTAAAAACAGTTTTCGAAGTAATACCTATCAAGGTCAATGAACACAACAGACAGTTTCTGCCCTCCTTCTAAGTTTTACAAAGCAGATATTACCAAGGTCTGCTTACCACAGTCAAGTTTACTAATATTTCATATTAACAGTGTCAATAACGTTTTTATGTAATATAATGAATTATAGGGAGTTACATTATGGATATTATAAGCAGTGAATCAGAAGAAAGACCGTAGCAGTACTTCTCGAATTTCAATAAATATAGAAATTATATTTATTGAATATAATTCAATAAATTCAATAAATTATTTCTATAATTAAATAAATTATAGAAATAACCTGTAGGTCCTGTTACATTGCAGACTCGCATTCAGCGGGACTGGAATGGGGCCCAAGACTCTCAGATCTAACTGACTCCCAGGTGATGTGACATTGCTGGTCCAAAGACTGCGCTTTGAGCAGCACGGAGTTAACACCAGATTGCCCAAGTTCAAATTCTAATTCCATCAGTACTACACATCGTTTTCATCATCAACACATTGAAATCAGTAAGAGAAGCTGCTTATAACACTGTTCTGAAGATTAACTGATGAGAAATGAATAAAGTGCTTAGTACATAATAAATTATCATTTTTCAATTACCAAAAGTATCTTCATTTTAGCATGCTTTACTCCACAGATCTTATTGTTTTTCCTATTCAAAAAAGTCTTATTCTCAACTCCCCAAGGCAAGCCAAGTACCTCAATTTGAACAACCCACTATAACATAGACCTAAATAAACAACCATTTGCATGGCATAACCATAAAAATGCCTTTATTTCATTCTTGATCCATCCACTGAAAGCAAAAAAAAAAGTTTAAAGGACAATACATTAAAAAAAAGTGTCCTCCATAAAACTATATTTTCCATCCTCAAATTGTCTGAAAAACTAAAGATCTCAATAATTCTAATCAAAAAAGATTTCCCCCCAAGGTCTTTAGTCCTAAGTATCCGCATATGAATTGAAAACTGTTTAAGTTACGGGTCGAATTCTTCTTTTAGCATGTTTAAGTCTAAACTAAGGATATAAATAACTGGACAACAATAATAATTTTGTGTAAGTCCCCTACAGAAAGCAATAAAAAATATGTTTTCCTTCCTAAGAGGAGAGACAAGCCATGTGTTCTGGGTGATAATGATAATAATTGTTTTGGTACCAAAAGAGAAGCCTTGTTACATGCTTTGCAGCAGAGACATTAAAACCTCTTCCAACTGGTACAGGAATTTAGGACACATTCCTGTTCTGCATTAGCAAGCAGAAAACCAAATTAAAAGGACAGTAAGAAATTCCAAATTCTGAAGAAGTGCCACTTTTTAATAAACACCAAAAGAATTGAAAAGAGATCCAAATAGAGACCTCTCACAAGCCTAAACCTTAAATACATCTCACTTTTGACAAGTGTCCTGGGGGACGAGGGGTGAAGAGCTTGCTGGAGGGCAGTTTCTCCCTGCAAAGTAACACCCTCTGCATTTAGGATAAACAGCCCAGGGGATGCTCCCCAACCCTTCGAACTCACAGAAGGAAGAGGATGTATTATGTCTGTTACAACTTCCACTCTCCCCTCCCCCCTCCCCTCAATGACACACACACCCTTTTCGAGTCTTAGCTCTTCTATGCATATTCTCCCCAATTCCTTTCTCTGAAACTGATTTGTTTAGCATAGTAAGAAGAAATAGAGCCGTCTATTATAAAGGTAATTTACAGTGATTTTTTAAAAAAATGCATCACTTCCAGAATCTGAGAGTCATTGGCTTAAAAATAAAACACTGCTCTAAGGAGCTTGTACACAGATGACCATGACTGCACCTTGTACGTAGGAACTGGTGCAGTCAGTCAATACATGTCCCAATACATTGGGACAGTATTGGTCGTTTCCTACTCGTTTTTTTTTTTTCTTTTCTTCTGAGACTCACAGAACTGCAATTTGTTCAAGGAAGCAATATGCCCAGCTAAAAACTATATTTCCAGCCTCTCTTGCAGCTCGAGATGGACATGAGACCAAGTCATATGTAAAAGTTGTTAGATGGGGCACTTGGAAACTCCTTTTTCTCTCCTTTCTTTCTCCCTAAAGTGTAGGTGTGATGCTGGAGATGGGTCGCCCATCCTGTGACATCCAGGTGAACACGAGGCTGGAAGCAATAGCCTTCAAAACGGCAGTCAGCTGGAAGCTCTAAGGATAAGGTGGAGTCACCCTACCAAGACTGGCCTAAAAACCACAATTAGAATTCTCATTGCGAGAAGTTAGGCAACTACGATAGATCTCTAATACACATACAGAATACTTCTTCAATGAAATTGATATTAAAAACAAACTCAGTCCTTGGAATTTTAAATATATATATGCATATATATATAAATATATATATGCATATATATATAAATATATATATGCATATATATATATATATCTCAGGTTTTAATACTTCTCATGTAGTTGAGGTCAACTATTTTGTTTAAATGACAACTGGTTTTCTACTTTTACTTTTATATATCATTTTAAACACAAAATAAAGGCTTACCTTAACTTTTTTACCAAGTCGATCCTTCCATTTTTCAGCAATAGAACCTTCCACCAACAGTAATCTGCATTTTTTAAGAAGCAAGCATTTTTGAAAAATTAAAATATATTACTAAAAAATACAAAGAATCATTGCAAAGAAGACTTACCTGTTTATTCTACAATAGAATAACTAACTAATAGTGTTCTAGAACACTATTTCTTAACTACTGGGGAGTCATAGATCCTTTTAAGAACAAATGAAGTTAAGACCCCTTCCCTCAGAAAAATGCACATCCACAAGCTGTACATGTAGGTGCACTTTCTACCCAATACATGCAATTGAGGGTCACTAGAAGGTAGACAGATCCCAAGGTAAGAACCACAGAGTAAGATCTTTGGAGAAGTGCGATAGAACAGGATAGGCATAGAAATTATTCTGAACCCTTAAGGAGTGAATTACCTGGAGCGTTCCTCATCTTCATAGCCCATGATGATATACTCCTCATTAACATTAAGTGGAGGACACAGGCAGCCAGAGCTGGTATAAAGGTTAACGGTGTCCCTCGGAATGTTTACGAGAGAGGACTTTAGAATCTCCTTCACCTCGACAACCGCAGTCACATCGTGGCACTTGGTCTTTACCTCCTTAATTTTAGCCCGAATGACTGGATAAAAGACAATAAAGCTGATATGGTAATGCAATACAAAATAGGTGCCACACTCAGAACAGGAAGGTAGGCTTCTTGCTAATCAATTCTTCTCCACTTGATGTTCAAGAATGAAGAGGAAAAGTCAGCCAGATATTTTTGTCTGAGATGGTAATGAGTGACACACTGTCCCCTTAACGCTCAGCCCCGATCCCCTTCCATTTTTGGTACACATGTGTTTACATGTGAACATATGTGTGTATGTATTCCACTGAGAGAAATTCATTTAGACAATCAAAGGTTGGGTGGATCTGATGCAATTGTCCTCTACAATGTCATCTCGGATGTGTGCATACGTGTGTCTCCCATGCCCACTGCTGCCAACAGGAATTTAAACTTTATTGATTTCCCTATATGTAAAGATCTAGTACTTAACTCTGCTTTGTTTTATTGGGTCTATGACTAAATTGTCTAAAGAGTTGGCAGTTTCTTCAGTGTTATAAACAGATTCTGTTTTACTGTTTCCAAACTGGTTTTGCAATCTTTTCACCTTCCTCATTTTAGCTTACTGTTTAGACATCAGCACTTTTCTCCCTGGTTTCAGTACAGATTTTCTTTTATGCTCTCCTGGGGGTATTCTACATTTTCTTTTTGAGTAAAAACGGTCCCCACTAGACCTTGTTTCTTCCATCTGCTTTGAAGTCAGACACCAGCCTCCCTCCCCCTCACGTGCTATGGAACCCAGTCTGACATGTCAGTTGCACACCCAGCCTCTCTCAATGGGCATACCGACACCCAGGTGATCTTACAAGTGTTGGCTTCACTTCTCTATAGAAAGACAAATGGCCTTAAAAATAATCAATTCGGTTACAAAATTGAAGTTTTTAACGCATAATTTAGCAAGTACAGTTCCGCTTCTTTTCTGTATTTCTCTTCTTTGGAGGGGCCCAATTCCTTAGATTCCTATTTCTGGTATGTAAGCTTTTTTTTTAAGGGGGAGCTTGAAAAAGCCTATGAAGTAAAAAAAAATGTAAATTTGTAAGAAATCACTGGCTTTTTCTTGGGCACCCTCGTTGTTCCAGGTAGCACCCATGGATATCCAGAGATAAACACGATATCCCCAAATGAATCCACTTTTTGAAAGCCTCTTATGCACGTATCGGCAAACCACCTTCACCTGAGTCCCTTCCCACATATTTTAGGCATTTTGGACTCTAAAAGAATGGAAAAAACTAATCCAGGAAAATGCAAAGCCAGCTAATAAGCCCCATCAATGCCCCAACTCCATACAGAAACTTAATAATATTCTACCAGCATAACACACTTACAATAGAAACTAAATTACTAATGCTAAAAACTTTACAATGAAAGCTCATTTTTGCTTCATAGGTATTTTAATTTTCAGAAAATGCGGTGTCTCAAATATGAGAACTTAGAGCAAACAAAATACAACTGCCCAGCTGTCCCTGCTTGGTCTGATAGGAGAGCAAAGGAATCCCTTCCTATAAGTGTTCCCTCCATTCTGTCTTTTATCAAAAGATAAGATTTCCCTTTTTGAAATGCCATTTGGGAGAATCAGACAGTAAACTCACCACCCCAGCCAGCAGACATTTCTTTGTGTCCTGGTTTATGTGAATGCGTTTCATAGCATCCATCAACTATCGGAGATTAGTGAACTGTGCAAATGTTCTCAGACTAATGATTTATTTACCCAGTATGGCTACTATTTTCATTAGAAATTTTTAGCACATGTACCCACTCCAAAATAAATATCTCTCCACAAGACTTACTTTATTATTCAAGTAATTTTGTTACAGCTCAAGAGATTTTGCCTGAATTAATTCTGAAGGAAGTAGAGGTTTTGTCTGAATTATCAGTTGCTCTCACCACCACTTCACTTTCACAATAGACATGAAGATATTTGAGAAAGATAAAAATCAACATATTTTGGAATTTAATTTTTTTTTCAGTTTTTTTCTTCTATTTAATCATTACAGTGCCTGTCTTCGCCAAAGAACCTCTAAGTAAGCCCTGGACAAGTAAAAATCCTTGTGTAAGCAACCTAGTTATTATTGTTTGGCTGTGAGAAAGAAATTTTCTTCTTTCCATTAATTGTGATCCATATCCCATTTTGTCCTTTTTCCATGACTTGTAACCATAAGTATTTTGACTTTTAACAAAAATAACAGCACCAACCACTGCAGCACTAAGTTGGATAAAGTAAAAATTAAGTAAAATAAATACAAACTCAACTAAATTTCCCTGATACAACATTTTTATTATGACTTTTTTAGTATAATTCCACTTAAAAGTTTGTATATCATTTTTTGATCTCCTAAAAACTGAGAACTACCTCTTCCTGTGATGTTTTGCATCTGACCTTTCAACCTTGAAAAGTGTGTCTACCATTGGCTAAGAGAAACTAGATTCCTCTTAAAATGAGTAGTGAGCAAAACAAAAATTAATTTGTTGGATATACATGTGGAAACTATTTGCATTTATTTAAAAGACATGTACCTACTTCGAGAATTTTCTACTTTATACCTTTTAATGCACAGTATTTTCAAAAACATCAAACATCAGTCTTACTGCGTTTTACTCATTTATCTCCTTCCAATTCCCAGAAATATAAAAGTAGAAATAAATCTGCTGTATATGTCCTAGAGCCTCTAAAACAGGGTGCACAAATTCAACAGCAAAACCTTTATTTTAATAATAAAGTTCCCTTCAAAAATCTATTTAATTGCCATATTTTTTCATTGACTCACCATCAACAGTATTCTACAGAGGTAGTAACATAACTTTATTAATCTCATAGATGCTAGGAAAAAGTGACAGTAAAACACAGATGGAATATAGCAAATATTAACTTGTCCCTCATTTTATCAACTGGAAAACTCTATTAATTGACCCTTCTAAATAATGGGTCATTAAAATTTGTGACTCTGAAGCATATCAGTACCCAAAAGTACATTCTGAACAATCAAAGGGTCACTTCGGTTTAATAATCACTAATAAAATAAGACTAAGACTCCACCTCATGGGCCGGTGAAAATTTCTATTCTGTAGGGAACCTGCTTGCACAGCACCTGGCACAGACACAGCCGGCCTCGGCTCCTTCAGTTAAGTTTGTTGGCAACATTTGAACCGATAGCTCTTCGATTAATATTTTATCAGAAAATCACGTTTCTAGGCTCAGCTAGATAACAAAACAATTCTTTAATTGAATATTAACAACTGTTATACGTGTTAATATTTCCAACTCTCTCCATCTTTTCCAAGAGACAGTGATTGAGGAAACCAAATTTAACCCTATTAACCTCCTCTTAGGCATCAAGACGCTGCTCCCGTTTACCGGAGTGAAGCTGAACTGAAAGCACCACTCACGCCCACATCCGCCTCAGGCTCTGGGGAGGGGCGGGCCCTCCCACCTGCTTTAAATGTATCTCTGTGTGCTTAGTTACGCGCGGTTCTATGACAGCCAGCACCACGGCCTGATATGCTTCAAAATCAATGTTTTGTTAAGAATTTTCTGCATATCAGACATTTTAATTATTTGGAACAGGTATGTTCTTAAAAGTTGCCCTTGTTTATTTGTTTTGTTTTTTAAGATTTTATTCATTTACTTTTAGAGATAAGGGAAGGGAGGGAGAAAGAGAGGAAGAGAAACATCAATGTGTGGTTGCCTCTTGTGCATCCTCTATTGGGGACCTGGCCCACAATCCAGGCATGTGCCCCGACTGGGAATCAAACAGGTGACCCTTAAGTTTGCAGGCCGGCACTCAATCCACTGAGCCACACCAGGCCAGGTGTTTATTTATCTTTAAGTCTTATTCTTGAACTGCTCTACTAACTTACACACACACACACACACACACACACGTTTCTTAACACAGCACTTTATAGTTCAACCATGAAGTTGTCCTTACCATAGTTGTAATTGTTTCGGAAATAGGTCTTCTGTGTAGCTCTAATAGGCTTACATTTACAGCGTTCTGAAAAATAGGACATTTTACATATAGACAAAATTTAAATATTAGCTTTCATTTATTTATTCACACTTTTTGGTTGATTACGTCTAATTTGGTGTTGAGAAGGTTATTATTGACTCTATGTGGTAGATCTTTCTCTAGAATTACATTTAGATTTATTCTGTCTACATGGACTTTTTTCAATATCAGTAGGCTCAAAGGTTCCTACTTTCTAACAAACCACCCAAATCCTCAGGAAATACTCTTCACCACCATGAGGAGAGCGTGACCCCTGAACCCTGAAAGAGGATGCTTAAGTACATATGGAGGTAGAATCAATGCCTAGGCACAGGCAACTTTCTACTTATGTTCAGGTGACTGGTTTAGCCCTCAGAATACCACCTGCATCTTACACACTTTACATACTACACAGTTTTCCTCCAAATATTAGTCCTGGATCTAAAAGCAATGCAGTGAGATAAGCAGGCACTATTACAACCTGATGACCTCAGTGAAGTTTCTGAGAAGAGAGGCCATGAGCCCCTTCATAGGCTGAATGACTGCTACTTTATTCAATGGTATTTTTATGTCTAGTGAAGTAAATTACTATATGCATATTTTGAAATCAGAAACTTCATGTTTTTTAAATGACTGGTGAGTAGTGACCAGAACACATTTACATGTAATACAGGTGTATATCATAGAAGTTCTAATTATCTCAAAATGTTTTATATATAGGGCAAATCATTTAACATCCTGGAAAGTGGATTACTATATTGTTTACAGAATACTTAGCTAAAAATTATGTGCCATATTTGCAACATAACCATAGTAGGTTGTTAGTCATTAAAGTCAATATAATAACAGGAAATAATACACAATTATCTTAGAAAACATTGTAGTTTGTGTAAAGATTTCTTTAAAATAGTGTCCCTGACAAAACTTTATTAAAAATGAAATGGTATCTATTTCTCCTACTTTGACACAGAAAGAGGAAAAAAACACAATCACAGAAAGAAAGCCAACAAAAATATTTTGTTTAAAACATATTTTATATTAGCATAGAAACCAATAAAAGGCAGACACTTTTGTTGACCACGTGATACTATGTTTTCAAATCAAAATCAATTTTAACTTGATTTAACTATAACAAAATCAATTATAGACAACAAGCTTTAAAGCAGCAGTCCCAAGGAGAACAGCACCCTTACTACCAACTGTGAAGTTCTAGAAATAAGCGCCTCCTCTGGACTCAGGTGCTGCCCTGCAAAGCAGAACAGCAGCAACTGTTCTCACCCACAGGGGAGGTGAGAGTCTCCTCATTGCTACACAGAGCATTTCCCCTGGCCTGCAGATATGTTTTCACACACAATCTCTGCAGAATAAGTATTTCAAGCCAATAAATAATGGGTAATATCAGAGCTGACTGCTATTTTAAAGAAGATTCCTTCAATAATAACTTTCTTAGCAAAACATTTGTGTCCCTATTGAAAAGAAAATGGAAAGTTACCTAATTCTACTGTACAGTTTTATTTTGTACAGAAATATTACACATTTTTTAAAGGAAGATATTCTAGAGATAAGACTATTTCTGAAGATTTATAAGTCCTCACACATCTATGGAAAGGGCCTGTGCTTTTCTGCCATTTAAAAACAGGTATCTACTTCTCAAAAATAATGCGTGTAGATCAATTACTATACATTTGTGATTCTTCAGGAATTTGCACATGCTCTAATAAAAAACTCTTGGCAAAAATATACCATCACTGGATTGAGTCTAATATGATCTCATTATCATATAACTTTGCATAAAGCATAAACAAATGGGCTATACAAAATTTCCCAAGCAGAGATTTTTCAAAAATTTGATCATAAAGTGACTTAGGAAGATTTTAAGTAAGTATTTACATAACTATATATATGCAACTACATATACACAGCTAGACTATTTCCTAATAGCTAATGAGCTAAGCAATTATATTCTTGGGGCAAAATTTTGTTCATCCTCAATGCACTTACTTCTGCTGGCCTCGGAAGTGACAATGCTGTGACACAGTACAGCTTGTCCCAGGCTCCAATCTATAGCTCTTGCTATAAGCAAAGATCTGTCTAGTTGAAGTAACCAGTAGCTCAATGAAATAACAGGGTAATGAGGAGAAGTGGAATTTTATGACTATGAGGTTCAAATATGGAAGAACTTCCTTTCACTTATTTGTGCTAGCTAACCCAAACGTGTTCATGAAAAGTGTACCCCAGACCAATGGATCCAGAGGACTATCCTTCTAAGGTTTACTCACATTCATATTGGGGAGTAGATATTTCCCAGCAGCCCAAGAACTGGAAAATTGCCAAGAATCATAGAGGGATACACTGCATATATTTTTTATTATATTTTTTGTACCTCAAACTCTAAATCCAATTGTAGCAGCTTCTTTTCTTTCCCTACCAACAGTTGATTTCCCGGGCTTTTTATTGGACCACCAGTATTACCATCATTTCTACTTTAATTCACCAATAACTTTAGTAATAGTCTTTTTCTCTGGCTTTTCAATGTTATGGTGGCAAAATGAAATCTATTGGTTTGCCTGCATTTCACTGTTGAGAAGAAAAGCTTGTAAAGAAATTGCCTTCCTGTTTTTATCTAAGGGGAAAATATGAGAAAGGAGCTGGCAGCAACAAAATATGAAGTGACAAAGAGTTCTTCAAATGTGGGGAAGGTTTTAATATCAGCAACTCATTCACCTCAGAGTCTAGGACTCACTAGAACACTCAGACTGTGGGACAGTGTTGCCCTTCTATACCCCACAGGCCCCCACGGGCCACGGCCAGGAACCTGTCTTCAGCAGCTCTCTCCCTCACGTCCTTTTGGACGCTCCCCTGAAATAAGTGATCTCCTGCTTCTCTGCTACTGAAGTTGAAAACCGTTTATCATCCTACTATAAGAATGGGCTTATCACCCCAGCACAAATATGAGTTTGCAAAACTAACATGCCCAGAGCTCCACAGACCTTGGTCTGCACTGCAGGTGAGATGCCTGAGAGGAAAGTGGCCACATCCTTTATTTAGTTTTCTGCTCATAAAAATCAGCTCATTTATTGGAAACACATAAAGATAATATTATTTTAAGGGGTCATATGGTTTTACAAGAATTATAAGTACCCAGAACAATAATAAAACTTGATTCTCACTGGACCTTCACTATTTAATGTGACCTTGTCTGAATTCAAGCTGAAGTGTGACATGACTTTCAAACTAACCCTGACCTTTGCTTGTAGCTGATTTCTCTTGGGTGTCACCCAGAGCTGTAAGACTATAATTAACCTTCTGAGACTTCAAAACTCCTATAACCTTTTGTGTACCAGGACTTCACAATATTACTATCCATGAATCAATATTTTTCTGCTTTTTAAGGAAAGGACCTCAGATCTCTGCTCAGGATTTATTGTCTAATAGTAGAGAGTGGGGGAGAAGAAAATACAATTCTATTTACGTTATAATTCCCAATGTAATTCTCTTAAGACTGACTCTTTCTACTCTTTTCAGAATTTAAATAATTCTGAAAAGAATTATTGTATCTGAAAATACAATTCTATTTACATTATAATTATAATTACATTATAATTATAATTACATTATAATTCCCAATGTAATTCTCTTAAGACTGACTCTTTCTACTCTTTTCAGAATTTAAATAATTTTAATTTACACCAAATATACTCACTGTATGTTTTATATCCTGGCACTTGACCATAGAAGCCCCCTTGTCCTCTCTGCCTCCATTTTAAGACACAATGGAGCAGACCACAAGTTTTAAAACAGAGGTAAAAATAAGTTTATTATGTTCAAAACTCTATATCCTTAACTATGACTTCTTTGCTGAGATCCAGGTCTGTATTTCTGACTGCCTATAAGAGGCGCCCACAGCATGCCCTCATGCAATGTTAAACATATGTCAATTTTCATCACACCATGAACTTGTCTTTCCCCTGTGGAGATAGTCTCTTCTGGTGTTACAACCCGGGATGTCCATGTTTCTCTAATAAAAAGGGGAAGGAAAAAAGAACTAACACTGGTTGAGCCCTTTCAGACACTTACGTTTTAATTCATTCTACAGATATTTGTGGAGCATCTGCTATCCGCCAAGCTCTGTGCTAGGCATGTAAGACACCTGATAGATGGACAATGCAGAATAAGGTATTAAACAAATAATTACACCTAAGATCACTTATTTTCATATGCGATGAATGCTATTAAAGAAAAGTACAATGTGCAAAGAGAATATGTAACCTGAGGATCTAAACTACTGCAAAGTCTTCTGAGGAAGTAACATTTAAGCTTTAAACCTGAACGATGACTTGTAATTATCTCTAGGCAGGAATGACACCTTAATATGTAAGGTAGCAAAGAAGTTCATGAAGGAGACTGAGAGGGGGCATCCAGTGACAAAGAGTGAAAAAGCTGAAAGAAGAGGGTGTTGCAAGAGAAGAGGAAAGCAGTCCTGTGTGTCAAGAGACCCTCCAAGCTCAATGGAGTTAAGAGAGAAAAGTGTCCATGAAATTTAATCAGCAAGGAGAGGAGAGGATTCTGAAAAACAGGGAGGCAAGGACTTTGAAAGTCAGAAGGACACTTCAGCCACTCTACAGGAGAAGAAAGGAGAGAGAGGACCAGATGCTGACAAGCTCATACATCTGTTGGTGAGACGACGAGATTTCTTCTGATGGCTTTTACTTTCTCATTGAGGGATGGAGTGACATCATCATCAGCTGTGAGGAATGAAGGGCCAAGAAAAGACCAGGTGTGGAAGTAAGTGTAAGAGAGAAGAAAGGTATAAAAAAGTTATTTCATTAAGTAGAAGGACAAACATTTTTAGAGAATAAAGGTAGGATTGATGGGCAGTATTAATACTGTGTCTTAATTTTATCTTGAACTTAAAGTGAAACAAGTCACCCCAATTGAGTTATTTTCTCTGGCAACTAGAGCTGGGACTTTGCCAGGTGAATATGGAGGGGGAAAAAAGGAAAAGC